AAATTGTTGATAAAATTAGGCTCATTTGACGCGTTTTTGCACAAAATGGACAAATCTGGCAAAAAAATGTCGCTTTGTCCCGTGGACCGAGATATTAATCGTTAAAGTTGATGACTATTCAGATTAGGAAACCTGTCACATCAATGGCATAGAGGAAATATGAGAACATGTAAACGAGGTTAGAATAAGTATTTTCTGTATAAAGAAAAATTATACAAATTCTCTGCTTTAAAAACAAATTCTCTGCTTTCAAACACAAATTTTATACTATAAAAATAAAAATTATATGGAAAATAATTTGTATTTATAAAGCAAAAAATTTGTATTTTTAAATAAGAGAATTTGTGTTTTTAAAACAGAGAATTTGTGTTTTTAAAACAGAGAATTTGTGTTCATAGAACAAAAAATTTATAACCTTTCATCAATATGACACATTTCCTAACCTAATATCTGTCAACTTTAACAATTAATATTAAATACGTTTTTGAAAGTATCTAAATGCTTAAGTACTTCAGCGAAAATTGCATACCGTATCTAGTACTATCTAAATAATATGGATTTAAATTTAGGTATATGTACCTGTGTACTTAGATATATTCCAACACTGATTGGGTATATACATTCGAAAAATGTCTGGTTAATTAGAATTCTGGTTGAAAATGACAATCAAAATGACAATGACAAATCAAAATTTGTTCGTTTTAAATCTATTATAACTCTGTTGAGATAACCAGAATGAGTGATTGTGTGATATAAATCAGAATCTTCTGATTCGTTTATTTTTCAACCAATAATTTTTCTCAATATATATCTCTATAAATATATGTTTCCGTTATTTTAATAAAAAAAATATTAGAGAAATAAAAAGTAAAATAATCAAATATTATTTTTACAAAATTATATTTATTAATATATTGACATATTTACTCGCATGTAAGAACATATAATTATTTTCCAAACAATTAATTTATTTACGTCTCATTTCCACGATATTTAGCAGGTTAATTAGAATCTACAGTTAATTAGAATCTGGAATGATAAAAGGACCAGAAAAAAAGTTAAATCGTGTGTACACTTTTAGTATTGCCTAAGTTAGATTAGTCATGGTTTAATTTTACAAAAAGTTTCTTTCTTTGGCTATAAAACAAAACATTATAAAGAAAGTATAAAAAGAATATAGGGTTATAAAGCAGATATAAATACAAAGCTATAATAAAATGAACTATAAAAATTAATAATCATCTTTTAATAGTTACAGAAAGCAATTATTTATTTATAAAATATTAGATCAAAATCATGATGTATTTTACAATATATATTATATATATTACTATATATATTACTAATAATAACAAAATGAACAAACAGAGCAATAAATTGATGTAATCGGGTCAAGCAGACATGCACGATTTATTAGTGCTAGCTGTTAAATTTATCACAAAGGGTTCAAAGATACAGTTTTTTTCAAAATTTCGGAAATGCGCCAAGACAGGAAGTCGGCCATTTTTAAAGATATTGAAATGAGACCAACGGCATTCGAAAGAGAATATCTTCAGTAGAAGTAAAATATCTTTTAAAATAATCGATTTCTCTCTTGGTGCATTTCAGAAATTTTGAAATCGCTGTATCTCCAAATCTTTTGAAGTACCAACAAAAGTAAAAGAGATACAAACGATTTTCTTTTGAATGCCGTTGGTCCCATTTTGATATCTTTAAAATTGGCTAAGTTCGTTATATAAGAATTACGCAAAAATTATAAAGCGCTGTATCTCCGAACACTGAGGTACAAACGAAAGTAAGAGAGGTACAAACGAGTACAAACGATACTCTTTCGAATGGCATAAATGAAATTAAAAAATTTTAAAGTTGCGTGCTGGCCATTTTTTATTTTTCACTTTTTGTTTAACTGTGTGAGGTACAAATGAAATAATGATCGGTACAAACGCGCTACGATGTTAATTTTTATTTTTGATAAGTTGGGCACTATGTTCACATCGGTATCAATACCGCTTCTGAAACGTAGCCGTATTGCAACTTCTATAGAAGCTCTCTTTTTCTCGAGAGAGAGAGAGAAAGAGAGAGAGAGAGAGAGAGAGAGAGAGAGAGAGAGTTGAATTCTGTTGATTAAATAAAATTTTAGGAAATGGATTGCTAGTTTTATAAAGCTGAAGTAATTGTCTCTAAAAGCTGATTTGAAAAGCGTTTTGTTATGAATACAATGCGCAAATTGCGCGATTCAATTTTTAATTTGTTTGTGATGGTTCAACTGTGCATATCTTATACTTGCATTCAATTGATATCATGGCCGATTGCAAAGTTATAATGGTGGCATTCAGTTTTGACGAATGTTGGGGTCGCGTATTTTGCAGAATACGATAAAATACACAATTCGTCTAGTGGTGATAATTCTCGCAACCAGTGATTTCCCAGTATGTATTTAATACATTGTGTTTATAGAACATCTATGTGAAAAATATTTCAATCGAAAGATTATTTATTTGCAATAATATATAATAACATAATTTTAATGTAATAATTATGTTAATAATAATAATTATTAACATAATTTTTATGATAAGATGTGCAACATTATTTATTCCGCCAAGCGTAATTTTAGTCGGTTTTTTTATTTCTCGCGTCTCTCGCGAATTGAGTTAATTTAACAATATTAAAACTTTAGATACAAGACTGTTTATATTATAAATGAAATTAAAATATGATCAAAGTTTCACACAAATATTACATTATTATATATTTATTAAGTAAATTTATTTCATACTTTCGGACTTTCAACACAATCTGAAACACTAATAGGGTAGAGCGAAGCTATTAATACTGACGGAGGGGCGCAAGTTTCAACTTTAAAATATTACGAATATCACGATAGCAAACAATATCTTTTTGCAGTGACATGCTTATAATTACATTATGCAATTATGATTGCTTTTTGAGAGCATAGTCGAATCTGAAACTCCCAATTCTTCGGGGCGGACATTTTCTCTCTCTCTCTCTTTCTCTCTCTCTCTCTTCATTGAATTATTTTATAAAGAACAATAACATATTTAATTTATAATAACAGTCAATAAATTGTACAAAAATAAGATGTGATTGCCATGTAGTCAATGAATGTATTAATTATACATATAAAGCTCAAATCAGACTACACATTGAAGATTGAGAATTACGAATTTAAGATTAGAATTTAATCAATCAGATAATTTCAATTTTAATCTGTTTCGTCCTGATTGATTAAATTCTAACTTCCAATTCGCAATTCTTAGTCTTCAATCCGTAATCTGATATAATCTTTATATATATAATTAACTAATTGCCGTGATTAAGTCACCGGTGACTGACACTTTCCATTTATGTTGAATTTGCGTGATTCTCGTGGATCAACGAGATTTTTGGAATAGTTTCGAAGACATTAAAAACTGGTTCTGTTTAGATATGCTCTTAAATGTATGTAACTTCGCAGATAGCCAAACTTTTAAAAAATAATTTTAATTTAAATGATAAAAATGAGGAAGATAAAATTAATTCTTCGATGTACATTTTCCCGACGATCAATTATAATAGAAAGGATTGCTTCGATTTCTACCCAGTTGGCACCAATTAAATTATAACATAACGTCTCTGTTATAATTTCGCATTTAACAACGTAACTGTTATGTAGCCTGCGATCTGTTATTCATTGCGAATATTGAAAATCTATAATATACGTAAAGCGAACTATAGATTTCTACAATTAGTACACGTAGCAAATAACAGAACCTCAAGAAATACACAAAAGTCAACAAAAAATCAAAATCTATTTAACATCAATAAACAGTCAAATTTTATAATAAAAAATCATTATTTTAACTTTCATGATATCAAAATAAAGTCATTTTGACCTTCTCTTGACTTGTGTTTTTTGAGACGCAGTCCTGGAGCTATATTAATTTATATTGTCAAGTGCGAAATTATAACATACCTTTATGTTATTTTTAGTTGGCGCCCACTAGGTATCGGAATGTTTTCGAGAGTAAAGCGGGATAATTTGGATAAGTTAACAGAAATTTTCTGAAATTGTATAAAAGATTGAGATTGCATAGTGTATTCAATGAAATACAAAACATTTATTATTGGTGCAATAATTTATGTTTTGTATATATTATAATTGAATACATTACGTGGTCTCAGTCTTTTATACAATTTGAGAAAATTTCTGTTAACTTATTAAAACAAATTACCCCGTTTTGTCCTACATTTAATTTTACGTGCGTGCGATGTTGCAAGAACGAAATATCGTGACGCGTGATCTCGAATCATCTCGAATCGCGAGGAGGACCAAAGCCGCCGTGATGGATTGGCCGTCGGTGCACAGACGATCAGCTGATCGTGTGGCACATGCTCGCGGCGTTTAACTGACCTAGTCCTACGCGCGCGCGAGTTGCCGCTTACGGCGCTTACGCGCGTAGTACTATGCTGAAACGGTGAATGAGCGGGTATGTTTTTCCGAGGCGTTGCGACTCAACGAGAAATATCGACAGACGTCGGATGAGGACGTATCCCTTTTTGCGATTCTCTCGCACATCTGAGCATCTCATCGCAATGGGCGATCTTACCGTACACGCACGAGTATTTTCTTAAACGATATGCAATATAGAGAAATATAACAAAAGATAGAGAATGTTAATTTTTTGCCGTGCGTTCGATGCGTCTCAATTTGAAAAGAAACTGTCTGGAAGTCGGATATAAAGAACTTCTCTTAACGTCTCCTCGATATCTTCTTTTCGTTGAAAAGGATCTTGATTGTTACATATGATGAAGAAGGATAAAAGAGATGAAAAGAACTTTTCCTTAACGATATCCTTTCGATATCTTCTTTCATTAAAAAAAATTTTTTTTTATAAAGTAAAGAAAAATTTAAACGATAAAAAATTGAGAATGAAGATCAAAGCGGTGCTTTCTCTCTTGAGATCGTCGAGTGTTAAAAGACTTTCGCAAACACTTACCGATATTCGGGCGAAGGGCAGGCTTGCGCCACGCAGACCAACGACGTCGATTCGTCCTGGGCGACGTGTACGACACCGGAGTTTTCGAGTATCACGGGAGGCATTACGCCTCTGTGATCTGTGAAGCAGAATGCAGAAAACTTGGCGCGTCACAAACAACGTTTCCAGTGATGTGCACGATAGTTTCCTTGGAAACTTATCGGTATTACCTAGACTCACCTGCTATCCTAATGTTGGCCATAGAACTAACGACCACTTGTCTCGTGAGACGGTGCATTGTGCGGCATCTGTAGCCATTCAGCTGGTCGCTGAACTCGAGGCTATGCACCAGAAGCTCTCCCGTGGGAAGCAGGTGGAACTTGCCATCTACAAAACGTAGCGATCGAAAGCGTCGTGAAATGTCAAACGTATCGAAAGATGTCATATGGTATATAAGATGTCCCAGAAAACCTGATACTAAAGTATCTTTGCCATCGACTTTTTTATAGGCTTATACATTTCAATCTTGAAATTCTGACAAGATGATACAGCGTACTAGCCATTTTTGCTAGTGGTGCTTTTCTAAAAGTAGATTTCGTAAAAATTTATCTATCAAAAAAAATTATCGTAGATTTGGAACAGCTTGTGTATATCGTTGATTTGCAACAATGATTAATTAAAAAAATAAAATTTTAAAATGTCTAGATAACATGTCCACACAGCACGTTTTTAAAGATGTTCTTAAGACATCTTTAATTCCGATTTTTATATGTTGTCTGGGCATGACTAAAATTTGAACTGTTTTAAGATATTCTTTTTTTCTTTATTTTGTTTCTTTATCTGCAAGTAATTAAAAAAATGACAATTTATGCAGCAAATGAGCCATATGATAATTTGATTATGGATGAGTATTGTTCCTTTTCTGTTCTTTTTCATTTTACATTATGTATCAAGGTATTTGCTTTCTGCAATCGATCGCAAAATTCGTAAGCCCGAAACAACACTTCGATAGAGTTTCGCTTGCCTTGCATGAATAATACACGACTTCCTAATCCTGTCGTATTATTCATATTGAATGCGCGGTGGCAATAATTGGGATCAACGTTTCCCGATAAACCGGTCGGTTATCTTTAACGACTATGATAACGCCACGCCCTGCCGGATTATTTTCGGGCACGGCCACACTCGACTGCACGATAATTACGCTAATTCCACGGACTCCACCCTTGTCCGATCTACGTGACACAGGGTCGCCTTCTCTCCACGCTTTTCTCTCTTGCTCGAACTAAGCTCGGGGTTTCCTTAGATAAGCTCGACCACAACGCTTAACGATCACAATTATCCTAAACAGTTGCGAAGCCTGTTCTAGAAACTTGAGCCTTTTCGGGATCTACGAATTACGCTTTACTTGTACGATCGTTACTTATATATATCGTGCACGAACACAGAGATTACCGAGTAATATATTCGATAAAGATTAAAATTATTCTATCTTTCGATATGCAAAATAGTTAGATTTACATTTATTCTCTAAATTTCTTGGAGTGAAACTCTAAAAGAATAGGGTAACTTCGGCAAATACGCCGCGCTAGGATTACGCCACAGAAATAAGAAAAAAATAGAAGGAGTGGGAGTAATTTTCCCGTAGCTACTTTGTTACATGCCTTTATGTTATATTAATATTGTATTATGATTTCAGTTTTTTATTATTAATATTAATGAAATTATTGTGAGTTCAATCGATTTATCATTGTAATAAGCCATCATAAATTAAAGTCTATATAAAATGATTACTGTAGGACGTACAAAAAAAAAGACTTAGTGATTATTTCGTGATACATGAGTGCAGAGGAATAGTAAAGCATGTTGTATAATATAATAAAATATAAGTACTTTGCTCTTGTATTCTTTGTTTAGTTTGTTGTCTTGTATATCTCACCTGTTTGGGATATATGGCATTTTTAGCGGGCGGGATTTATCTCAAAGCATAAATCCAAACTGCGCAGATTGAATTCAGTGCATTAAATGCAATAAAAGCATTTCATGAAATATGTATCTCATGTCATAACACTTATAATACATGTAGGAAGATTGTAATTATTATTTATTACTTCATATATATATTTATCACTCTTATTCCTTAATAAAACTTTGTAAACGCATTTTATAAATTATTGTGTCATTTTACGTCTTATTTATATGCATTACTTGTAAATTTTTCATGAGCCGCACATACCCCTCCTCTCCCTGCGAGTAGCCATGTATCCTACCCCTTTGGGATATACGGCAAAAATGCAAGAGTTTGAAAAAGTTCATTTTTTAATACGAAATATAAATATTTCAGATTTCTAATATTTTTTTCATAATAGTAGACAGTACAAAGTTTTTACTGATATAATTCGTTTACTTTAAACATAGTAAATAATACGTATATAAATTAAGTTTTTGATAGGTGCGGCGTATATACCGGAGTCACATTCTTATTTCTTAATAAAACTTTATAAATATATTTTATAAGTTATTGTCATTTTACGTCTTATCTATAAGCATTATTTGTAAATTTTTCATGAGCCGTACATACTCCCCTCCCCCCTCCCCCTCCCTCTATGAGAACCCGTATAGGATATACGGCAAAAATAAAAAGTAATTCAATGCTCGATTAAAATAAATTAAAATAATCAGTTAAAGGGCTCAGAGCACAAATAGAATTAACGCGACAAAAATATAAGCGGTTTTATACTAGACACTTCTGCAATAATGACAATATTTTTGCATTTATGTACGAAAATGTTTTGCACACGATGTATCTGCACTTTTATGATCGTGTATAACAACTATGCATACACTTACGCGGCTGAGTGAGCTCGTTCGTGAGACATTATAACAGCTAAGAGCGGTAGCTGCGATAAGGCAGCCTTCTGAATAGATTGTCCGCTAAGTCAGGTGGACCGAATAGTCTATGTAGTTTAGATATTACATTCGACGGACCGGAGCCTATATAGCCGAGTGCGCGCGGTTCCATTCACGATAGATGCGACACGCATATGTATTATATATATATATATATATATGTATATATATATGTATATATATGTATATGTGAAGCATATACGAGCTGGACGCCACGTACATGCAGCGAATTACGTTCTACCTGATACCGACACAATCGCGATCGCAAATATGACGTAAAAACATCTTTCCATGCAATATGCAGTTATTATACTGCATGGAAAAGATGATTTTTGCAAAAATACCTAAAAATTTAGCTAGATATAAATTTGAAATAATTTTGTTCGATTAAAATAATTATTACATACAGCACGCTGATTACTAAAACGTCAAAAGCAATGCTTTTTGCAGGATTACTCATTATGCTTGAGCGGCATAATTATTTTGATAGTCCATTATTTTCTATATTTAATTTTATATCTGATTCTAAATCTACATCTAATTTTTTCTAGATACATATTTAATTTTAGATATTTAATTTTTTCAGAAGCTTTAAGAACTGCTCTTTCCATGCATGGGAAGAACGAATAATAATTTAATGATAAATTTAGCTAGAATATTTAAAAATTTAGCTAGAATATCTAAAAATTTAGCTAGATACAGATCTGAAATTTTGTTGAACTGCCAAAATAATTTTCTATGAGTATTTTGTGATAATCCAATATAATTATTTTCAGATCTAGCTAAATTTTTAGATACTGTAGGCAAAACCGTTTTTTTTATGTGAATAAATATTATAATGTTGAAATCTTTCACGATTATCGATTTCGAAGTAAAAGTAAAGTATCTGCAGGTAATGCAATACCGAATGCTTTTATAAGCAAAAAAGAATTTATGCATACATTCGCCCATGATGTAGATATAAGATGGTAGGGACAACATGGTTTTTTGGTGTAACTAGTATTCTTAGCGACTGCTAATTACAACCGCGTAATCAAATCGCGGCACGCAAAATGTTTAATTATGTATAACTCTTCCATCTTGCACCCTTGCACGCAATTTTCTGGGGCGGACTCGCGTTTACAGCAAATCTGATTAATCTCCGTGAGCTACTAATGAACCCGACAATCCCGACTCGCACATCCCGCACCGCGAGCTGCGGAAGGAGACGCCGCATTATTGTGGATATTAAATTTCAGCACGGGCGTCCGCGGTGGATATTAAATTTTAGTTCTTGTAGGCGACGGCCGTAGTGAGCCCCCATATAGAGACTACGCTGAAATCGCCTCGTATTGTCACTATATCCATGTTATTCTTTTTTTTCCTTCTATTGCCATCGCACTACATCTGTGAAAATCCGCCCGGGATGTTTCCCGAGTTCGTATCAGTCTTTGCGCCGCGAAAGCCGGATTAACGAAATTTGAAGACCCAGCTGCGTATGTGTGTGCGTGCGCGTGTGTGTGTAATAATAAACTTTAAATCAAGAAATATCTAGACACATATTTGTGAAAATAAAAATTATTAACTATATAAGAATATGAATTAATAAATTAAAAATTAAAAATGATAGTAAAAACGGTATAATACGATTCAATATTTATTTAGACATATATTAATCAATCTAATAACGAGATCTCATATTGATCACCATAATAACGAGATGTAGAGAAAGAAAATTCCAATATAACGATAAAGTGATATATATAGAAAATTAACAATAAATTGCTTTTGCAAATAATACAGAGCTTTTAGAATATAATTATGTTAAAAGTTACCACAAGTTCTCACCGAAAATCTTTGGCTCAGAATTGCGTCTTGTACACACGAATATAAAATAATTGTCATGTGTTCCTCATTGTTTTCCCTTATTGACGTGACTTAATCCTTACGTATATATTTACGTATATATTTGCGGAAATTTATTTTCTCGCAAATAATATCTATCTTTTTCGCATAAAAAGATTTACTTTATTGGGCAAAATCCCTTATATGTGGACATAAAAGTTATTTTGAATTTTTCAATTGGACTTTAATTAGATTTTGCCATTGTAACTCATGTGAAATTTTGTGTTTCCGTACACAAAGAAATGTAGTACACGCTGGTATGTAGATTTTCGTTATAAACATTTACCTCCTTGTAGCGAGGGATATATGTAGGACGAAGGTTCGTGCAGCCAGGATACGACGCGCACCAAATCTTTGACGTAGCTGGGTATGATGCAGCGTAATATTGCAGTGCATCCCCTCGATGCGCCCCCCGTCACCTCCACCTCGACTTTGTATGCTTGAGCCACCACTGCAAACAGCAATAAAATCTCACATAAAGCCATGTGTTCCAGCAATCTAGTACAAATTGCAAAACAATAGCTTACGTAGTAATTTCCATTTCTACAAAATAAAATTTTCTTAAAAAGAAATGAAAAAATTCGTACGCTATAAAAAATACTTTTGTATTCTTTTTATAATTGTTACGATAATTAGGATAATTACATACAACAGTTTGTCTCTTGGTTCATAATTGCATATGACTTTTTAAAGTTCGTTATTTCGTTTTTAAAAAGAAAAAAGCAAGTAGGCGGTGTAAAAGGATTGCACGTCGTCATTATGTCGAGCTAACAGCGTAACGAGACAGAGCGAGCACCGATTCTGTGTCTACGTCTGTGTCTCTAATTGCCACCGTAATGAAAAAGCAATCGCAGTTACGCCGACAGTCTCGTTTTCAATTACATCGTCGTCGTCTTGCTACACCGTGAAAGCGCGTTGCCTTGTATACTAGTGTGTATGATACTATGTATATACACAGACTACAGAGGGTGTCGCACACGTCGTTACGTCGTAACCGTTGGGTGAATCTCGACGTCGAGGATGCGTCGAGGCATGAGGCGACGCGAGCGCATAACGAACGTCTCGCTTCTTCCCTCCCACCTTCCTTCCTCTTCCTTTTCTCTTTCCTTTTTGTGTCCGGCATCGCTCTCTCGTGCACGAGGAGCATCGTACGCTCTCTCTTCCGGAGATTTTATTTACGTGAAAATTCCAAGGACGACGGCCAGCTCCGCCACCGACGGTGCAGTCTGACAGGCCGACGTCGCGACGCCACGACGCGGAGGCTAAAGCCCCGACTATGGCGTTCTGAATTTCTTCTCTATATTCCTTCTCCGTCACTTCGAAGCTCTAAACCGTGTGAAGACTTTGTCTCGCGTTTTTCTCTCTTTCAGCTCCCTGATTCCTGCTTCTCCTGTTTTCACTCGCATGCCGTCGTCTCGCATATCTCGCAACTCGCGTGAGAAATATTGCTTGGAATTATGATATCATCACTCGAGGAGGATATTAGAGGACTTTTATATAAAATACCGCACAATGTATACGTGGATGTTATTTTGAAGATGAGTATATAGAATATCCCATATATATGTGTATGTATAGATGGAATAAAGAACAGTACTATATATTCAAAGAATAAGCATCTTTTCCGTTTAGCAAAATTTTCAGAAATGCATTGTTTTTAAAATATCTCATTTAATATGTCAATATAGTATCGTTTGTTGTTTCTTGATTTTTTATGTAAATGTTTTTTGTGTAAAAATTTTGATAATTTTGATATAATTAAATTTAATATTTATGTTCCTATAATGACACACTTGAAAAAGATTTATTTAAGTGACGTAATTTATCATAGCCAAAAAATACTCTTTTTTTAGTGAAAAAACAATTTTGTAAGTATTTTATTTTAAAAATGTAAATAATGAATTTAATTACAACAATGAAATTTTACATGAAAATTTACAGGACTTTTATATACCGCACTTTTAAAATACCGCACAATGTATACGTAGATGTTATTTTGGAGATGAATATATAGAATATCTTATATATATGTATAGATGGGATAAAGAACAGTATTATACAATATATTCAAAGAATAAGCATCTTTTCTCTCTCTTTTTAGCAAAATTTCTTCTTCAAATTTACAAATTTACAGTAAATTCACTGTATTAAAATACATTTTTATATAAAGTCATTTATACAGGATCAGACACACACACACACACACACACACACACACACACACGCGCGCGCGCGCGCGCATATACAGGGAATTCATATTAAGAATAAAATCTCAAATATGGACTTTTAAAAATTTTTACAAAGGAAAACAGATGCTTATTTTTTGACAAAGAAAATGTGATAGTACTAGTCCTATCTATAAGACATCTATATTATACACATATGTATAATATATACCTATACAGAGTGTCCTATTTTAATCGCAAAGTATCACTGGTTTGATCTTGGGTGACGCTATCAAGATTACGTCAAGGTATAATATTTAAATTTTTTTCATGGAATCTTCCATTTTTTATTATATATTCTTGTAGCACTATAAATACTATAATAAAATATTTTTTCATTAAGTACTTCTCGACTACTTATAAAGTTTATGACAATATCATCAGCATTAGCATTACCCAAGATATCCGAGGCTTTGATTTTGACAAACGTTGTTTGGCATGAGCCTGAACAACATTCAAGAGGTTTTAGTCGTCGTTCGGACACCTTGAGTAATGCCAAGAGTAATACTGATGTAACTTTCAAGCTTTATGACTCGAAAAATATTTAATGAAAAAATATTTTATTCTAGTGATTTGGAAATTTTTCGAGGTAAGCTAAGAATATGCAATAAATGTATAAGGTTCTATTTAAGAAATTGATCTTTACGTGATCTTCAAACAACTCTCCAGGATCAAACCATTGGCACCATCTTATGTCTCTTTCCAAACTACTAACTTTTGTACAAAATATCTTTTAAAATAAACTTCTTTTAAAATAACTTTTGTACGAAATTTTCTATAATGCTTTATTTCCGAAATATAAATCTGTAACACTTTAATTAATTGATTCACTCTGTATATATAACATAAATTACAACGTTATATAATGATATAAATTTTTTTATTTTAAAATCATGATTCGTTATGCAATCATTTTGCATATATATATATATGATGATTTATAGATTTACAAGATTCTTTATAATCAAACTTAACTTTAACTATTTTCCTTTGAAATTATCACAAACGTGTTCATAATTTTTGGCGCTTAATCGCTCGCATAAAGCACGCCTGCTTTATCGAGCACGCGTGGAAAAGAAATTTCTTCCGTTAAATCGAAAGAGAGAAAAAGAAAAAGAAAGAGAGAGAGAGAGAGAGAGAGAGAGAGAGAGAGAGAGAGATAGAAAGAGAG